ACCTAGAAACAATGTCTGACCCAGTAACAATGAGCAACCGGTGGCTGCATTGTGGGTCTTGAAATATCATCTCCTATAAAAGAAACCAGGGCCGAGGTGGGTGGATCCCTTGAGGCCAGGAGTTCAAGACCAGCCTGAGAAAGAGTGAGACCCCATCTCTACAAAAAATGGAAAAATTTGCCAGGTGTGGCGGCGCATGCCTGTAGTCCCAGCTACTCAGGAGGCTGAGGCAGGAGGATCACCTGGCCCAGGAGTTGGAGGCTACAGTGAGCTGTGATCACGCCACTGCCCTCCAGCCTGGATGACACAGCAAGGACCTGTCTCCAAAGAATAAAGGCAACCAGACCTGGCTGCATCTTGGAGACTTGGCTGACTCCAATCCTGCCTCCCAGACAACAAGGGGCCACCAAGGACCACTGAGGTCCCTCAGAAGGATGCAGGAGTCAACTCGAAGAGTCACCCACTGGGCAAAGAGGGGACAGTTTGGGGCTGAATAAGGATTAGCCTTCCAGTAGATTAAAACTCATCAAAAATACTTAAATCCATGAGTTCATGAGGGTATTAAATGTTTTTGAAAGCTAATTCATCACCTTCTCGGGATGAAAAAGAATCAGTTCATTATCTTGGAAACTAAGTAAACTAAACAGAAAAATCCAGCATTTGTTTTGCCTTTTCTGCATGCACCGTGCCCTTGGGAGCCAAACTGTAGATGAGGAAGAGCATCCCTTCCGTGCCAGCCAGTGAATGAAGATGAACTGACACAACTGAAGTATTAAATACCCCACTTGGCAATCCCTAACGAGCTAGCGACGAGCTAGCGAACCCAGGCGTCGCACATCGATGGCTGCTAACGTCACGAAAGACACGTGCACCTGGAATCCTCCCAAAGGGGCTGAACCTGGTGATCAAGCACCCGGTTCCAGCTGCCAACGCGCAGGAAGCACAGAAGAACGTCTTCAACTGCCGCTTGGCTGTTCGACTGGGGGGCCAAAGGGTTGGGCCCCCCAGCAGTGAGACAGTGAGGACAAGAAAAGCATGGAGGTGCGTGCAGACCGCCAGATTCAGACATAATTAGGGTTAGAAAACAAGCAGGATTGAACCAAAGTGTTTACACCACAGTTACGCTGGGGTGACAGCTCATAAAAAACACACGGGGTGATGATCATACAAGTGAATATAGTGGTTGTTTTCAGAGGAGGGAGAAGGCTGCTTTTGGGTTGAGGCACAGGGAGGGGCTTCGGGGGTGGTTGGAAAAGTTGTAGTTTAGATCTGAGTGGTGACCGAGTGTTCACTTGATAACGATTCCCTGCACCGTATGTTTACTTCCTGTATCTGAATTTATGTTACAAGGACAAGGTAGAAACAATTCACTGTGTGTTTGCTCTTTGTAGGTCGCTGTTCTGAGTTCTCTGCACATGTTAACGCACGCCATCCTGCCAGAGACTGCGGGAGACAGTTCTCATTTCCATTTTACAGACGTGGAGGTGAAGACAGAGAGAGATTAAGTTCTAACAAACGTGTGAAGAGATGCTCAACCTTGCCAGTAATCAAGGAAATACTAATCCGGTCCAGATGCCAGTTCCTCAGCCTTCAGTGGGCACAGACCTGAAAGTCAGGGGGCATTATTGTGAGCAGGCAGGGAGAGGACGAGGCACAGGCAGAAATGTGTCTATTCTCCCCACGCCGGTTATACGCTAGAGGAATATTCACCAGTGCAAAAGAAGGCGCGTACTAGGGTGTTCACTGCACGTGACTGCAGTAAACAGAAGCTGGAAACATCACAAGGGGACAGAGTAAAGAGAATGCAATATAGTCACGTGCAGGAAAATAATACAGCAGTTAAAATGAATAGTTCCATAAAGAGCAACACGGTGTTCTCAAAACATGCTTACTGAAAAAAGCAAGCTGCAAATGAATCATACCATACCATAAACACCACTTATTTAAAAATTTAAGAAATAAAGCACAAATACATACCATTCACAATACTCATGTCTGTAAGGAATTACCAACCAGTCGTGCACCGCACGACATCTCGGTCAGTGATGGACCGTGTATGTGACAGTGGTCTCTTACCATCCAGTGACGTCACAGCTGTCACAATGTTGTGGTGCAATTCCTGTATGCTTTCTGTAAGTTTAGTGCAGCCTAAGTGTGCAGTGACTATACAGCCTACAGCAGGGCACGGTGAAGTCCGAGGCCTTCACACTCACTCACCACTCACTCAATGACTCACCACAGCAACTTCCAGTCCTGCAAGCTCCGTTCATGGGAAGTGCTCTATACACGGGTGCCACTTTTTATCTTTTATACAGTACTTTTACTCTGCCTTTTCTATGTTTAGATACACAAATACTTACCATCGTGTTACAAATGCCTGCAGTACCCAGTACAAAAACATGCTGTAAGGTCTGCAGCCTAGGAGCAGGAGGCTGGACCACGTGGCCCACGTGTGCAGCAGACCATGTGACCTAGGTCTGTTTAAGTGTATTTGTGATGTGACTCTGCAATGAGAATTGCCTAGGCCAGGCACAGCGGCTCACGCCTATAATCCTAACGCTCTGGGAGGCCGAGGCGGGAGGATCGCTTGAGCTCAGGAATTTGAGACCAGCCTGAGCAAGAGTGAGACCCCATTTCTACAAGACGTAGAAAAATTGGTTGGACGTGGTGTAGTTGGACGTGGTGGTGCGTGCCTGTAGTCCCTGCTACTTGGGAAGCTGAGGCAGGAGGATCACTTGAGCCTGGGAGTTTGAGGTTGCTGTGAGCTGTGATGACACCACTGTACACTAGTGAAGGCAACAGAATGAGACTCTGTCTCAAAAAACAAAAAAAAAGAAAAAATTGCCTGACAACAAACTTATTTCTGTTGTTACGTGACACATGACTGTACACTTGAAAGATACGTGCCAAAGCTGTGATAACGACAGCTTCTTAGGAGAAAGAGGGGGATGTGATACAAAGGGTACTTTAACATTATCTACATATTGTTAAAAATTTTTTAAGAGACAAGGTTTGGCTCTGTTGCCCAGGCTGGAGTCCAGCGGCGTAATCACTAACTCACTGCAGCCTCGAACTCCTGGGTTCAAGCAAGTCTCTTGCCTCAGCCTCCCGAGTAGCGGGGACTACAGGTGTGCGCCACCACGCCTGGTTAATTTTTAAATTTTTTGTGGAGATGGGGACTTTCTATGTTACCCAGGCTGGTCTCAAACTCCTGGCCTCAAGCGATCCTCCCACCTCAGCCTCTCCAGTTGCTGGGATTACAGGTGTGAGCTACTGCGCCTGGCCTGTATTGTTTTCTTTTGTTTTAAAAAATCCAAAGCAAATCCAAGAAAATAACTTATCTGTCCTGAGTGGTAGCAAGGTGGGTGTTTGTAAAATGCCTCCAAAGTCTTTAGATCGGGCCTGATGCTGACACAGCAGGCAGCTCCAGATGGAAGAGTGGACGGGACCGTGGCTGAAACGACTCAGAGCCCTTCTGAGCCCAGCACGTGCGGGCCAGGCACTCAGCACGTCCATCCCTGCTGCTCATCTGTCAAGCGGGAGTGATGCAAGGCCTACCTACGGGTTACTGCACAGGTGAGCGAACGTGTGTGAGAGTCTTGGAAGAGCGCCCGGACAGAAGAAGCACCCTTGGGATGCGTCAGAGCTCTCATCACAGGGAGACACTGCGCAGACATGGATAACCTCCAGACAGACTAATGGCAGACTCTGGTAGTAAGGGTGTGCCCACTCTGTGCAAGCTCACTGAGTGCGCTGACAGATCATGCACTTCTCTGCACGTGTGGTGCATTTCAGTAAAACTTCCCAAGGAACGAAAGGGGAGATACGCCAAATAAGATTGTGGATCTAGCAAAAGTCTATAAGGCCGGGTGCGGTGGCTCACGCCTGTAATCCCAGCACTCTGGGAGGCCGAGGCAGGCGGATCGTTTGAGCTCAGGAGTTCGAGACCAGTCTGAGCAAGAGTGAGACCCCCCCCCAGCTCCACTTTAAAAAAAAAAAAAGAAAAAGAAAGAAAGAAATTTGGCCAGGCAACTAAAAATGTAAAAAAACAAACAGGCCTGTAATCCCAGCACTCTGGGAGGCCGAGGCAGGCGGATTGTTTGAGCTGAGGAGCTTGAGACCAACCTGAGTGAGACCCTGTCTCTACTAAACATAGAACAAATTAGTCGGGCATGGTGGCGCATGCCTGTAGTCCCAGCTACTCGGGAGGCTGAGGCGGGAGGATCACTTGAGCCCAGGAGTTTGAGGTTGCTGTGAGCTAGGCTGACGCCACGGCACTCTAGCCCGGGCAACAGAGTGAGACTCTGTCTCAAAAAATAAACAAAAACACACTAAGAACGAGGAATGGTTACACTGCACTATTGGCTAAAACAGAAAATTATCTATTAGAAGTTTCTGTAAATACTCCTGAAGAGAAAGTAAAAAGGAGCAGAAATAAATCTGTGGGTTTGAGGACAAAAAGACACCATGGCAACAACTGTGGGTATTAGAACATGAACAAGGTATTACCATTAAATTTGTCAGGTATAATGATATGGAAGTTATTTTTTAATAACATCCTTATCAGGTTAGAGATGCATCTTGAGGTATTTATATGTAGGAAAAAACCAGTAATTTCTGGAATTTGCTTTAAAATAGTCCAGGAAAAGAAAAAACTAGGGCAGGGAGAACAGCTGAAACAAGATTGACAAAATGTTGACACATGTTGAAGCTGGATGATAGACCACAGGCAGTGATTACACTACACTCCCTAATTTTGCATGTTCGATAATTTCCACACGAAAAGTAAATTCTAAAAGTTGCATTCTAGAGAATAAAATTGACAATAGGTCGGGGGCCTGTTCTCTTTAAGGTTTCTTGATTTAGCAAAGAAATACCAAGGAGACACCGGAACGAGGACACTGCTGTAAAACCCGCCCACCCCACGAGGACAAAACTGCAAAGCACACAGAGGGCCCCGCATGCCCCTGGCCGTGGGCATCTGGCAACCGACGCTTTACCTGCAGTTCTCCTTGAAGCGGCACTTCCCCTCCAGGAAGAACGGGCAGGGCTTCAGGGACTTGTGCGTGGGGTAGAGGTACAGCACCCGGACTCCCGCCGAGCCGTCCGCGGCCGCCTCGGCGCCCACGACCATGGCGCTGTGGTACTCCAGGGTGCCCCACGAGCTGTAGTAGGGGGCGTTCACCTTCGTCCCGCTCAGCTCTTCCTCATCATCGCCACTGTCTTCTCTCTCTTCCTCCTCCTGCCCCCCTTTGGAGGGCTCTGGCCCTGCTTCTCCTTTAGGAACAGTCTCCAATTCTGCTGCAGGGGCTGCTGGTACCTCCACTGCCTCAGCAATGGCTTTCTGGAAAGCCAGGTACTCGGCATCTTCCTGGGCTGGGTGCTCTTCATCCAGGGCGGCCAGCAGCTTGCTCTTCCGCACAGACACCAGGCTGGCCTCAGTGAGCTCGATCAGCTCCTTCAGGTCCCCTTGCAGCTGGCGCAGGTCGGCCTGCTCCGAGGGATCCAGGCCGGCGCCCAGGGCCAGCTCCACCTGCTGCAGCTGTGCACGATAGGTCTGGAGCGCCGTCTCCAGACTCTCCTCGTCCATCCTGGGGCAGGGATGCTGGTTTCCCCGGGAAGGCAGGGGCGGGTCCCCGGGGCCTGGCAGAGGAGCTGTGCGACCAGAGCTGCAAGGAAGAGAAGCCAAGTGAGCCCCGGACCTGCCGCCGTACTCGAGCGGAGGCTCTCACCGGGTCCTCGCAACAGCCTGCGGGAACGAGCTCGGCTACGCCTCCCTTTGGACGAGGAGAACACAGGCTCCGAGGGAGCCGCTCCCAGCGGGAAGGCCAGACCTGGGCCCTGTGCGCGGCCCGGCGCCCGGCTTCTCACGGCGGGTCCGCTCCCCGTCGCCTCGAGCGCCCGCTCCAGAGCCCCGCCCCGGGCGACCCCGCTCGCGCCCGCCCCCCCGGGCGGCCCTCGCCTCCCTCAGCCAAGCCCACCCGCCGAGGCGGGCGCCGCCCAGGCCCGGACTCCGTCCCCCGTCCGCGCCCAGACCCGGCCTCACCCCGCCCAGGCCCGGGCCCCGTCCCCGCACACCGCGGCCCGCTTGTCCGGGCCGGGCTCCGCCTCCGCGCGGCTCCCCGGCCGCCGCCATAGAGAGCCCGCCGGCCTCACCGGCTAGAGCGGCCCGGCGCCCCTTCGCAGCCGGCCAGCACTTCCTCCCGAGCTGCCGCCGGAAGTGCCCGGCGCGGGTGCCGCTGGGACGCGGCGCGCAAAGGCCGCCGGGACGCGCCTCCGCCTCTGCCCGGGCGTCCGGGCCGCGTCCCGTCAGGTGCCGCGCGGGATCAGCGGGGGTGTAGCGCGGCGGCTCCAGCGGCTCCGGGGCCGCGGCGGGCGCAGGTAGGCCAGGGGCTGTGCGGCGGGGACGGGCCCGAGTGGCGGCCGGGATCAGGGGAGGCGCGCCGGTCTGCCTGCGAGCCCCGAGCGCGGCGGCCGCGACGTGGGCGGTCGGAGTTGGGCCGCGGGTCCAGGATCCTGCCGCGGGAGCCTGTTCCCGCCGCCGACCCGCCCTGGGGCCGCCCCTCGTGCCACTGCCCTTTGCAGGGGAGGGGTGGCGGGGAAGTTTGCCGAGGCGCGCGCCGGCTGCTTACCGCTCCGAGCGCCGGACGGTGCTGCTGCCCAGCCCCCGGCGGCGAGCGCGCTCTGCTTCCGCGGGTGCGGACGGTGGAAGAGAAATCTCGGGAGGGCGGGGCCGGGTGGGCCTGTGAGCTCGCTGCAGACGCCCGGCGGGGTAGTTCCCGCTGGAGAGGGACCAGAACCGGTTTATATTCCGAAAGATCACAGTCGTTGCTTTGAGCGGAATGACTTGGAGCGGCCAGTGTGGGAGAAGTTATGGAGGCAGAGCTGAGAATTCTCACAGTGAGGGGCGGAAAGGGACAAGGGGTCAGGACTGGCCTCCGGGCTCTAGTTCTGGGCGGACAGCAGTACGGACTGACGGGAAGCCAGTGGGAGGTGGGGTGCGTGTTGGACTGCACCGTGACATCTCTTGGGGGTGCCCAGGGCAAGATGTATACGCTGCTGTCGGGCTTGTACAAGTACATGTTCCAGAAGGACGAGTACTGCATCCTGATCCTCGGCCTGGACAATGCGGGGAAGACGGTAGGTGCCTGGGCCCCTCCCCTGCCCGCCGGTGACCTTTGGGTTTTACACCGTCAGCTGCATGTTCACTGGCCAGACAGAATCCAGACTCCTCCTGAGACCACAGTGGAGCAAAACATTGCTTTGTTTTGCTTCTGTTTTTGTATTTCAAGGAATAGGTCTAAGAAAGAATATTTGGGAAGCAGACTTGGAAAACTACTCTAGTTTTTACCTTATATGTATCCGTCCCTCTCTCCTCAGACCTTCCTGGAGCAGTCGAAAACCCGGTTTAACAAGAACTACAAGGGGATGAGTCTGTCCAAAATCACCACCACCGTGGGTCTAAACAGTAAGGGGGTGCTTTAGAGCTGTGGGTTTGGGGCCCTGAGGATGCTGTGATGTCCACAGCCCAGCTGGCCAGTGGCCGGGGCTCTGTCTCCCGAGCCTCCTTCGAGCAGCACTAGAGTGGTTGGCTCCATCCCCTGGGACAGCTAGGACCTGGCGTGTCAAGGACTAAGATCACGAGCCTTGCCTGTTCTCTTCCAGTCGGCACCGTGGATGTGGGAAAGGCTCGCCTCATGTTCTGGGACTTAGGGGGCCAGGAGGAGCTGCAGTCTTTGTGGGACAAGGTAAGCCAGACACCCGGTACCCTACCCGGGGGGCACCGTCTACATCCCCCACCCCCACTGGTGCCATTTCTCTCCAGGTGGTGCCGCCTGGCCTCTTCCTCCTCAGCAGCCTCCATTACCCACTTTGTTCCTGAGGTTTTTCTCCCCAGTCACATCCCAGGTTCCTGAACCACTCCCTGTTTTGTCCCTGCCAAACCTACAGCCGGAGTCGCCCTGACAGCAGTAGCAGGGGAGTTTCGCATAATGGAGTCCCCCAGCCCATCCCGAGAGGGGGCCAGTTGGGATTCCAGGGAAAGGAGCGTTAAACACCAGGGTGATTAGGTCAAAGCGTTTATCAAGGGAGCTGACTCACAGAGTGCTGCAGCACCTGCTCAGGCGGGCAGGGAGAGAAGGGGGTGTTGTCCTAGGTGTGTCTGCAGCGACGGTCTCAGAGTGTGGAGTTTATAGGAGGGTTTAAGGAATTTGGTTCGGGGCCGGGGCTAGTTTCTTTCAGTGTTTTGGGTAATGAGCTGAACACTTTTATAAGTGCCTGGGAATGTTTAAACCGCTGGGTTTGACCCTGCAGGGAAAAATGTGTGGCTGGTCAGGTCACAGAGCAGTCAAGGTACTCTGTGTTTCTCAGGCCAAGAAAAAAAGTGGGGGGACCCTGAGGACCCTCCACTCCCCCAAAAGTGAGGACACACTTGCTTCCTTTCAGCTTAGCGATCTTTATGATCACCGTGGGCCGCAGGCAGAAGTGGCAAAGATCAGATGTGGGGAAGGCACAAAGCCTACGTCCTCTGCAGTGGGTTCTCTCTCGGTTTTAGCGCAGCACCCATTCCTCCGTGGCGGCTTCCTCCCCATCATGGGGAGGATACGTTCAGAGCTGGACAGCAGCTGTCTCCTTGTCCATACAGGCATTGGGTGTTGCTGAGATCCCAGTGTAGCACCCTCTCCCCACATCCCCCCATGCTGGAGTCTGTCTCCATCTCGGTCTCTGCCAGGCGCTGGGTCTAGCACTGAACAGGACAGACCAGCCCCTTCCCTCACTTGGCTGGAGGTGTGGTGCAGCCCAGTGCTGGGGACACAGATGCTCTGGCTGCCCTGTTGCGTGCCAGTTGCTCTGCGTTTACAGCTGAGTGCCCAGGTCCTGATTTATGTTTTGATCCCAATCACCCTGTCCTGGGCCCCACCAAAGTGTCCGCTCCTGCCCAACTTCTAGCCAAGAGGGCTGCTTTCTCGCATGGCCGGAAGGTCTTTGAAAGGTCCTCTGGCCACTGGAGTCCAACAGGACAAGCCAAGTCAGGGGCTGCTTGTTCAAATGTCCAGTGCATGTGGGTCATGACATAGGTGATGCCCTTGTCATAGACCAGGGTCTCCGGCACGGACACAGAGACAGAGGTTGGGATACGGGATGCATCTTGGTGATCAGTACCAGGAAGGCTGAAGCGGGGCCGGAGAGAGGTCAGCTTAGGCAGCAGTGTTGCTAGGACTATGACTGGCCCCGCAGGGGCACCGCAGGAGTCAAAACGAGCTGTCCACTGGGTGCACTGCATGCCGCCAGGCAGCAAGGCCACAGGTGCCTGCACTGGCCACAGCCCACCTGTGCACTAGTTGGATCCACACCTCTGTGTTGGGAAGTGGTTCCTGCAAGGTTCTGGTGGTCTCTCACGGGGAAACTGGAAGAGGGAAATTAAAGGGGAGACTCTATCCCCTCCTTGAGGCTAGTCTCGGGCCTGTATCCATCCATATCCCCCTGACTTCACTACCATTTCTGCTGGGTTGTGACCTGTTCGAGGCCTGAGCTCTTCTCTGGGCACCGTCTTGGTGGGGCTGGCTGCTCCCTGGGCTCCCTGCCTCTTGCCCACTGGGGTCTCCTTGAATGCGGGGGCGTGATTCAGCAGGTCTGAGCATGTGCTGCGTTGGGGGCCGGGACCCCCACCCTGCTGAGCTCAGTGTTGAGTATGGGCAACAGAGTCCCCTGGGTCACGGAGGGACGGAGGGGAGGCTGCTGCTCCCACCCTGGTTCCTGGACGCGGCATCCTGTGGGGAGCCCAGTGCCACGGAAAGGTCTCTAGCCGGTCTTGTTCTGGGGCCTGGACCCCAGCAGTGCTGCTCCACGGGGGCTGCAGCCACCACCGAGCCCTGGGTCAGCAGGTGCCAGGATGGCAGCCCACGGTCCTGTGCGGGGGTGTGAGGCTCCCGGGCTGCCGTGGCGTCACTGGCTTGCTGGCTGGCACCTGGTACTTGGGGAGCTCCCGTTGCTGCTGGGGAGACAAACTCAGACCCAGGGTCCCTCTGATCTCTGTAAGGGACAGCACCCCATCGGGCTTCACCACACTGCTGCTCTCAGGCGGGGCATCGGGCAGTGGCTCACCAGTCATGGTGGGTGGCGCCTGCCTGCCATCACCCAGCACCACATCACTGTCAGGCCACCCTAGTTGCTTTGTTTCCAGTGGACACTCTGGTGGGCTTTGGAGGGATCAAGACCTCCCTTCCCCGCGGCCACTGTTTGTAGCCACCCCAGGCCTTTTGGTGCCCACACTGCTGCCCACAGGCCTGGACACACGCTAGCCTGGCGCCACGACTTCCCACACGAGCAGGACCAGGTGGGCTGCCTGGCGTTCTATCTACAGGGAGGACGTCCCTGGCCTCTGGCCTGTCCCCACACATCGGCTGGCCCACAGGGGAGCCAAGAGCTTGGCCCTTTTTCCGCCAGTTGTGCGGTGTCCCCCACATGACAGATGCGGCAGCTCCTGGTCTGGGGCCTCCTGGTCCTGCTCACACTCAACCCAGACATGCTGCTCCTACCTCACTGTGGCTGCTGCTGGGGTCCACGGTGTGCCCAGTAGGTGTGACGGGTGCCTCTGCCTGTTTGGTCCCGTAGTCAGGTGCCTGTCTCTGTTGGGGCCCCGGTGCACATGAAGTTCTCAGGAGCCATAGGAGGTGTGATTGCCAGTGGGCTTCCCGCAAACCCCACAGAGCTGCCCTTCCCACCGTGGAGGCCAACACCATGCTACCAGCTCCTGGGAGTTGGCAGCAAGACAGCCGGCCCCTACTGCCCGGGCCCCAGCTGGAGCTGGTGACTTCTGTGCCAGACCTGTTTCTAGGCCAGAGAAGTTCCTGTGTGGGGGTCTTGCTGCCTGCAGAGCCCAGGACACCTGTCACTGGGCTCCTGTCACCCCGGGAAGCGCAGGTGCAGAAGGTTGTCTGATACTGGGGTGGGGTGCCTGGTGCACCTGCTTGTCACACCCTAAGGCTGTCACATCTCAGGGGTGTGTGTGTCCTTACACAGTGACACCGGCTTGTCCTACCCAGTCAGTGTCATGTTCCGGGCCTCTAGGTGCTCATGCCCAGGTGAGAGAGCTGGCCTAGCCCTGGAAGTGACCAGCGTGTGCTGTTGTGCGGTCCACGTGGATGCAGACGGTTTCCCGTGTTCTTTTCTGAGTGGGACAGAAAAGCACTGGCCCCATCCTGAGCTCAGACTCATGCTCGAGGCTGCGTGCGTCTGCTCCGTCTTGCCCCAATCCACTGGGCGCCAGTAGTGACCCGTTGCTGTCTGTGAGCCCAGGACCGGCTGGGTCCATCCTGCAGTGGTCTGAGCTGGGTGGTGCTGACCCCATCCAGACAGGGAGAGCTTGCTTCTCCCCTCGGGGTACCTGTCAGTCTTGCCGTCCAGGTGGCACCAGGTGCCAGCGTGAGGCCCAACGAGGGCAGTCCTCCCTCCCACGGGAATGGAGCTGTGGTCTGGGATCGTCCAGCCCCAAGCCCTGTGTTTCTGTGGCCACCGTCAGGCCAAGGGTCACATGCAGCTTCTCTGGAGCAGTCCCTGGGGAGGGGGTAGGGGGAGGCTGACCACCCCTGCCCAGGCCAGCAAACCTTTCCCACGGGGGTCTGGGGACATCTCCACCCAGTTGGGTGGCTGAGTCCCTGCTGCCCTCTGCCTTCCTCTTCCTCTTGTGGGCCCCTCACAGCGGCTATGACACGGGGACCTGGCCACACTGGCCCTTGGCAGGGTGGCAGCAGCAGCCCCAGCTCCCACCACTTCCTTCTAGTACTACGCAGAGTGCCACGGCGTCATCTACGTCATTGACTCCACCGACGAGGAGAGGTTGGTGGAGTCCAAGCAAGCCTTCGGTGAGTGGCCTGGCAGCTGGCGGGAGGGAGGGAGGCCCGGGGCTGTGAGGGTGGGGGGAGGGTCGGGGCGGGTTTGGACGTCCCTCGGGCCTGGGCGAAGGTGCCCCTGCTGACGTGCTGCCTGGTGTACGAGGGGGCAGGTGGGGTGCTGGGTGCCAGCTGCTGCCTCTGCCTCCTCCCCAGAGAAGGTGGTGACAAGTGAGGCACTGTGCGGTGTCCCTGTCCTGGTGCTGGCCAACAAGCAGGATGTGGAGGTGAGCCCCCAGCCTCCCCGTTGCAGGGCTCACACGCCTCGGCCCAAGCCCTGCGTCTGCCCAGTGCACGCTGCTCTCCAGGCCTGTGCTTCCCCCGCCACCGCTGGGGCAGACCTGTCCCCCACCAGAGGCTTTCCCACCCGCTCCCCTCCCTCCCAGGGCCTCTTCCTGTCACGCAGGACACCCTCCCCCCTCTGGAGGGTGGCTGTTCCCTGTCCCAGGGTGTGTGGCCAGGCTGTGGGGAGACACAGCTGGAAGCTCTGAGCTCAGAAGTGCTGCTGTGGCTTCCTGGGTGGGCATCAGTCCTAACCCTGACCCGTCTCTGCTACCTTTGCCCTGCATCTGTGCCAACCCCGCCTCCCGGAACCTGGGGGCCTCTGGTGCCCCTCAGGTGATGCTGGCTGCACCGAGTCCCTGCCCTCTCGGAGGTGCTCTAGACAGAAGCAGCCCAGGGTCTGGGTTCAGTTCCCGTCTTCCCTGCTGGCCTCCCCTGCCATCCCTGCTGACAGGAGGGCGTTTGGTGCGGGGCGGGGGTCTTCCCCTGGAGGAAAGGGGAAGGCAGAGATGCTTTTAGGGCTGGGCAGGTCGTCACGAGCAGAAACTGCCATGACTGCAGACACCACTGCTTCCCAGCCCTGCCTCCCGCCCCTGTGGGGACCACCGGGACCTGCCCCTCCACCACCAGGGCCTCGGGCCTCAGCACCCCACCTCGGAGGGAGCTCACCCTTAGGGACTGGCGGGGGTGGTCCTGTGATGCCGGTTTCCTGAGCAGCTGCCTCGTGGGAGCTGCATGTGGTCGTCCCCAGGCGCCGTCAGCCACGTGCGGACTCGGAGGCTGAGCTCAGGGTCCTGGCCCCTGTGGCCTCCGTGTAGGAAAGCTGGAGCCCTGGTTGAGCTCTGCCCACGCCATTTCCTGGGGTGAAGAGCCAACACCCTGAGAGCCCCAAGTCGGCAGGCGGGACGGGGGTTCTGGCCTCCCCTCAGACTTGCCGTCTCACAACCTTGCCCCCAGACCTGCCTCTCGATCCCTGACATCAAGACGGCCTTCAGCGACTGCACCTGCAAGATCGGCCGGCGGGACTGCCTGACCCAGGCCTGCTCCGCGCTCACAGGGTGAGTGGCCTTCGTCCTCAGGGCCTGGGGGCCACGGCAGCCCCGCCTCACACCCTCTGTCTTCACAGCAAAGGGGTGCGCGAGGGCATCGAGTGGATGGTGAAGTGTGTCGTGCGGAACGTCCACCGGCCGCCGCGGCAGAGGGACATCACGTAGGTGCAGCCGATGTGCTGTCAGGGACAGCTCGTCCCCTTCTGCTGGAGGAGTGGCCTTCCTGCCGGCCCTGTGCCACCGACCCTGGGGTTGGGTTTGCTTTGCTTTGTGATTCTTCATTTGCTTTGTGTTTCTGTAAGACAATCTTTCCTCCGAGTCCGGAGAAGTGCAGGCGTCCAGGGCCTCTGGAGGGGAGTCTGGCAGCGGGGCCCCTGGGAGCGCCAGGGCTGCTCCGCCCAGCTCTTCCAAAGAGGAGGCCTCGCCCCAGTGTCCACTGCGCTCTGCGCTCCGCCCCTGTGACCCTGGAGGTGGTCTGGCCTTGAGGAAGACCTGGCCCATGTCCCCAAAGGCCACCTGGGGCCCTGGGTTCTGTTGCGGCCTCGGAACAGGGCTGAGGAGACCTGCCTGGGAAGACAGATCCGCTCCAGAACTCGCGACATCTCCACATTTTAATCTGCTGGGGAGGCCCAGAACCCTCCCCCAGCCAGGCGTGGCTGCTGCCAGCTGAGGGTGCCCTGGCTCCACTGGGCCAAGGCCTGGGCAGCAGGTAGCCAGGTCTCCCTGGGGCCCAGGTCAGTGATGTTGCTGGACCTGTGTTCCTTGGGGGCGGGGGGCAGGTCAGTGATGTTGGGCCCTGGAGGTGCCTAACTGTTCCCCACCCCTCGTGCTGGGGGCAATGCATCTAGACTATCCCATCCAAGATCCTCAGAGCCCTCCCCACACAGCACGGCCCCCACCCCCAGGTGCAGGAAGCACCCGCAGGCCTGGCCAGGGCTGACCAGGGTGCTTGTGCACAGAATAAAGACCGTCTGACCTGCTCCCGTCCGACCCTTTCTCCAGGTGGCCCAGAGTTGCGTTCTCTGCTGTCTGAGCACAGCGATGTGGCACTGGGCCCCCAGTGGGCTGGTGGGCAGGTGGGGGGAGCTCCCAGACAGGGCTGGAGCTGTAGCCTGTAGAGCACACCCTTCCCACGAACGTGGGAAGTGGCCTGGCCCCAGCCCAGAGACCTGTGGCTCCCTGTTGAAGGGTCAGGTCACACCAGACTGCTCCCTGGGGGGCCTGGGAGGAGTTGCTGGGAAGGGGCCTGAGTGGGGGTGGGGGTGGTGCCTGTGACTCACCAGCAGTGTGTGCTGGGGGCCCCCAGCCTTGGATGGGAGGGACCTAGCCGCGGAGGGGAGGGTTCCTGGGCCCCCAGGTTGCTCTGGATGTGTCTGGAGGCAGAAAGAAAAGGCCGCACTTCCCAGAAAGCATGTGGGATGCGGCGGGGGAGGTCTGGCGCGTCCCCTCTGGGAAATCCCCTGGCAGGGGAGGGGTGAGGCCTGTCTGAGCCAGCCGGGTGTGTCCTGGGCACTCCCTGGCCCTGCCGCTCCCTCCACAGCGTCCCAACCGGAGTGGAACTGGGGGTGTCACTGAACTTCGGGGGCCCCCACCACGTGCCACAGCCAGTGGGGCGCCTCGCTGCCCTGGCCGGCACGGACCATCTGCAGCGGCCCTCGGTGCGGTGGGGGTGTCCTCAGTCCGAGGTAGGGGCCCGACGGCGCCCAGAAGCCTGAGGAACTGGAGCGGGGCTTCCTGCCCACCGTGTCCCGCCGCGCGCTCAGAGTAGGCGCGCAACGCGGGCACAGCCAATGTTATGAAACAGCTTTATAAAAAACTTTTAAGAAGCTTCCCTTGAAAACATAAAAAGCTGCCTTAGGGGCAACGCCAGCGCCGACGCGGGGACGGGCTGTAGGATGCGTAAGGGGGCGAGGGCGGTGCTCAGCGCGCGGGGAGGAAGCGCGCGCGGACACTCCGCTCCAGCCCCGGCAGCCGGGCCGCTCGCAGCGCCCGCAGCAGCCGCGCCAGCAGCGCCCCGTCCCGCGCGCCGCGCAGCTCCGTGAGCCGCCGCCGCAGCTTCTCCTGCAGGGCCGCGCGGCCGCCCCTCTGCGGCGACGGGTCCCACCCCGCCGGGCCCGCGAGGGCCTGCTGCAGCCGCTGCAGCCTCTTGGAGGAGACGTCCTGGAAAACCACGAAGTCGATGACAGCGCGTTCGCACTCCTCAGTCCCTGCAGGAAGGTCAGGGTGAGCGGCGTGGGTCATGTAGCCCACAGGCACTGGCGGGGGCCCTGGGAAATTCACAGAGCACAAGGAATCCCTGCGCACTAAACCAGCGAAATGTGAGCCACCTGGAGAGTACAGCAGCAAGCGAGGGAAGAAATCAGCAAGCAGGTGCAGGATGTCAGGACAGGCGCTCCCGCCAGGGCGGGCAGGGCAAAGGTGCCCGGGCAGGAGAAGCTGGGCTGGGGCGGGCAGGGCCACTACAAGGAGTGAGGAGCCACAGTGGGACTGGACTGGGCTGACCTGACACTAAGAGCGTCACCTCCCTCTGCCTAAGCGCCACTAACTATACTCTCTGGACCTCAGTTTCCCAATGTCAGAGGCAGTAGCCACCTTCCTCTGACGCTGCCGGGAGGGTTGGGAGAATGTGCTGAAGCCACCTCCCCGGGGCTCCCCAGGCGAGGCTTGTCCCTGGATGCTAACCCTCAGCCACCCTGAAGGGGCTAGACTCTGGGGAACCCCGGACCCACAAATCTTCCACAGGCCCTTAACAGAGACTACCAGGAATGCCCCCTACTCCAGGGCTAGGCCCTGCCTGAGGGCTGGGAGGGGGCACAGGCTGACTCACCAGCCCCCTTGGGCCCCGGCTCACCTGGCCCCTCCTCGCCGCGGGGGAAGCCAGTGCAGCTGGTGCACAGGGCGTCGTGGGAGGAGGAGCCCGGCACGTTGAGGGCCAGACCCAGGGCTGTGCAGTTGCGGTGGGGCTGGCAGTGCTCTGAGCTGGAGCTGCTGGCGGAGAAGGTGCCCGGGGGACACGGCTGGCACTGTGTGTTCCGGCCGGGGGTGCCTGGCGGGGCGAGAGGAGAGTAGGACAGGATCACGGAAGCTGAGGTGTCCCTGCTCATGGCTCAAGTCTGTGACCAGCAGCTCGACCCCCGCAACGCACGCCTCCCGACACCACTCCTCCTCTAGGTTCCCCTCCTTCCCGCGGCGCCCCCTCCAGACGCCCGGCACGCACCCAGAGCGGTCACGCCGGCGCCGGGCGGACACGGCGCGTGCTCCAGGCAGAAGCCAGCGTGCGCGAAAAAGCCGGGGCGGCAGCGGCACGCGCGGTTGTGGGTGGCCTGGCACGGCCGCGCCTCCTCCTCGCGCTCCCCGCAGAGGACGTTGCAGTAGCGGCAGCGCTCCAGGTAGTTCCAGAACTGCGTGTAGTGGCGTGGCGGGCACGCGCCGCACGTCGTGGGGCTGTCGCGGCGGCACGGCTGCTGCACGAAGGTGCCCGGGGGGCACTGGGCGCACGCCAGCCACTCTCCCGTCTCCGCGTCGCGCCACGGGTAGGTGGGCGCATCCGCCGCCCCGCGCACAGCCAGCGCCAGCAGCAGGGAGGGCAGTGCCCACGGGGGGCACAGCAGGGACGGGCCCAGTCTCTCGCGCACTCTCATGGTCTTCGCCGGAGCAGGGAGAATCTCAGCGCGAAGACAGGGATATGCCCAGCCCACAGACGCACCGCCCCCACGACCCCCAGCTCGCCCGGAGTTGGGCCCCGAAGCGCACCCGAGCGCGGGCCGGCGTCCCGCCCTACCTGCCTTCGCCCCACGCACTCCAGCTCCAGCAGCCCGGATGCGTTTCATACCCGCGGGCGGGCGGAGCGGCCTTGCCACGCCCCCTGCAGGAGCCCCGCCCCTCCCGGCAGCCCCCTCCCGCCCCTGGCTCCACCTCTCCCCAGGGTTCAGTCCAGGGGCAGTTCTGTGAGGGGCCTTAGCAGTCTGGGAACCGCCCTCCCCAGCACGAGGAGCAGCTCTGGCAGCCCAGGGTGGAAGTGGGGGCGCCCAGGGCTCCGCCGCAGCCGTGAGGGCCCAGGGGAGCCCAGCGTGGACAGAGCATGCAGGGCACTGTTCTTGCAGGGCAGGGCGGGAAGGGGACCCACAGGCAACACCCATCCCTCGCTGCACCCTCAAATCCTACCACCAAGCCCGAGCCACACAGACGCTGTCCTGGGCACTGCCACAGCTTTATTAGCGAGCCCTGTCCTCTAATTAAAAGTGGGCACATGGGCACACGGGATCCCCTCCTTCCTGACTGGGGGCTCAGCTGAGATGCCCCTGGGGCGCCACTCCTCAGCCAGACGCGGGGGAATCTGGGGGAAGCACCTTCGACAGCCAGGGCTTTGCAGGCCGAGGTCCTGCCCACAGGGATGAACCCTGGGCCCTGTCTGAGGCCTGCACTGGGCCTGGCAGGCGGGCACCAGGCCCTGTTGGGTGGGCTCAGCCACGCCAGAGCTGGACAGGCAAGTGCCACGGCAGGGGTGACCCAAGGGTCTCCACGAGGGCTCACTGGGGCTCTGGCCAGAAGACCTGTGTGATGCTCTGCTTCCTGCAGGCGGCGTGGCAGGCTGGGCACGTCCTAGAAGCCTGTGGAGACACCCAGATTGCTGGACATGTCTGCCAAGCACCACCCCCGGGCTGAGGGCCTGCCCCAGCCCCCGAGCCCACCCCCGGGGACGAAGTCCAGCAGGGGTTACTGGGGGCCAGGTGCCAACCTGGAGGTGCCGCCGCCAGCAGGCCTGGCAGCGGTGGAAGTCACAGGAGGGGCACTGGAAGAGCACCACGTCCTCTGCTCCGCAGCCCCGGCACAGAAAGCCTGTCGCAAGGGGCCCCCTGGGAGCACCCGCAGCCTGCTGCTGGGTGCCGCCTGTCCCACCAGGCTCACCCCGCTCAGACTGCACGTGCCCGTGGGGCTGGCTGGGCCCTGCGGCGGCACTGTCAAGCCCCAAAGCCCCGGCTGGCTTCTGTCTAAGAAAGGACAAGATCTTGCTCTGGGTCTTCACAGGTCTCTCCGATTGTGCGGGGCCTGGAGACAGAGAAGCGAGTCCAAGGGGTGCCCGGTGTTTCTCTGCTGCCCACCCCCAGGGCTGCATGGGATGGGGGTGTCAGAAGCACTTGGGCACCCCCCTACCTGGTTGGGGAGGCCCCTGGGTGAGCTCAGGAGGCGCAGTGGAGCTCTCTTCCTGGGGTCCCAACAGCCCCACGCCTGTGCCCAGGGAGGGCAGGCCGGTCAGGTCTGTGCAAGTCTGCAGGAAGCGCTGCTTGTGGTGGGGACGCACGAACATGCCAAACCCTGTGGGGAGCTTCACTCAGACCCCAGGACAGCACCCCACGCTGTCCACTTGCCCCCAGTGCCCGATCCCGCCCGCTGCCCCGGTGTCACTTGCTGTGCAGCAGGGGGAAGTCCTCGGGCCTTGCTGTGGTCAGGGCCGCCAGCACAGCCAGCGCCTTGTCGAGGTCATCGTCCTGTTTGTAGGCTTTCAGTGCTGCCAAGAGCTGGCTACAGCCTGCAGACCCCAGCGCCCTGCGGGCATCTGCCAGGTAGGCGCTAGCGGCAGGCCGGCCCCCGGATCCCACTTGTGGACGGCTGCCACGGTCTGCTGGTGAGACCGGGAAGCAGCGTCAGGGGCCAGGGACCCAGACGGTGCCACACACCCCCACCCCCACCTCCTCCCAGCAGAGCCCTTCGCGCTGCTCAGGACACCTGGGGCTGCGGAACCAAGAGCAGCCCCTGCCAGGCCTCCCCTCAGTGGTCTGCAGCTCCAGCGGTGGCCCTGGTTCAAAGACTCTCTGCGGCCAAACGGAAGGGTGGGCCTCCTCAAGGACTGAGGCCCCACCCAGGGTCTGCAGGCCCCACAGGTACCTGTGCCCAGCGGCCTGGTGGACAGGTGGGGCCCACCCTGGTTCAGGTGCTCTCTGGGATCCAGCTGCGTGGCCACAGCCTCGGACAGGGTCAGCCTGGAGTCAGGCTCCCTCCCTCCTGAACAAAACAAAAACACCAGGAGCCACACCGCTGGTTCCTGGGGATCTGGAAAGTTCCCTGGGGTGGAGGCAGGTCTGGCTGGAGGGCCTCACAACCCCCTCAGCCTGGAGCAGCAGGCCCGACCCTGCTGCCCTGTCCTGGGGACCTTCTGCTGGGCTGGTCACTAGGAGGCCCAGGAGCAGGCGCTCCCGCCTCCGGGGGTGCCAGGTTCAACTCCAGATAGCGACAGAAACAAGGAGGGGGCAGGTGTCTTCCGGTCCAAGACCCTGGCCTGTGCACGTGACTCCCCAGGTGAGTCTCTCCTCGGAGACCTGCGCCCTGCGCTGTGCGCGGCGGGGAGGACGGACAGGGCCGTGCGGGGGCGGGGGCAGGCTGTGCACAGTAGAGGATGGACAGGGCTCTCCCCAAGTGATGCTGCCTCACAGTGGCCCTGATCAGCCGGCTCCACCACCCCAGAAACCTCGGTGCCACCCTGCCTTCTGGGTCTGAGTCTCAGGGTCCCACCAGCGGCCCCCCTCACCGCTGAAGTCCAGGGCTGGCTGTGCCGGCTGCTCTCGGGAAAGGCTATGCTCAGGCCGGTAGCCGCAGCCTTGGCCCGTCAGCTGGACGCACAGCTCCTCGAACTGCTGCTTGTGGTGGGGCCGCACAAACTGGAAGAAGCCTGTCAGGGAGGGGGTGTCTGGGCCTGTGGGCTGGGGGCTCTGAGGACCATGGGCCACCCACCTGATGCCTTCTCTAGGGAACAGGGACAACCTGGGGCCCCGGTGGCCCTCCTGGCTCTCCCAGCAGGCCCCCACCCCACAGCCATGGTACTGTCCCGGGCGGGCAGCCTCTGTGGGCTGTGGCACCTTGGAGCAGGCTGTGCTTCTTGGGGTCCTCGGCAAAGAGGGGGCCGAGGCAGGCTGCCAGGGCTGCGAAGTCGTCAGAGCCCTTGTAGTCCTGCAGCGCCCGGGCGAAGGTGTCAAAGCTGGCCTGGCTCAGCACCTGCTTCACGGCCACCATGAAGAGCCTGGCTCTGCCCACCTGGGCGCCAGCCGCCACCGGCTCCTCCTGCCGGACACAGGCCGGAGGCTACCGTCAGTGCCGGCCTCACCGGCCCAGTCCTGGGCTGCAGAGCTGTGCCGGCCTTCCCTGGCATGTCTGGGGTTCCCTGGGACAGTGGGTAGCCATGCGAGGGGGGCGCTGCCGGATAAGCCCCAGTGACGGGGTGGGGCTGGGTGCGGACCCGCCTGGGGTCACACGGAAGGCGGTCTGGAGAGGCCAGCAGGGAACCCACGCACGACTTCAGGGTAAGGTGGCCCTGTCTGCGCTCCACACCCCTTGAGAGCAGCGAGTGAGCAAAGAGATTTGTTCCCCTCAGGCTGGGAGCTCCCGTGGGGCCCATCTCTCTGCTCCTGCCTCAAGCCCCTTGCCCCAAAGCGGGTGCTGCCGATGCTTGGAGGACAACAGCTCACAGTGAGGGACTCAGCACCCCACTTCTGCACACCCCAAAGACCAACAGGGACAGTCCAGGAACCCCCCAGCCCTGCCCCCCCAGCAGCCAGCGCACTTCCCGACAGGCCCAGCCCTCCTGGGCACCGCCTGGTCTTCCCAGAAGGCAGGGGACGTGGACAAAGGATGCCACGCGCGGGGCTTTCCAGCAGGCAAGGGCTTCCTGCCTCAGGTGCCACCCGAACGCTTTCATCTGAGGCTGGGAGCGGCTGCACCTCCCCACGTGGGGCAGGTCAGTGTCCGCTCTCGAGTGAGAAGCTGGGCCAGGCCAGCACTGCCCATGACAGCTGAGGAAGCTGCAGCCGGCTGCAGGCCCTAAACCAAACATGCCCAAGGCTGGGCCCAACTCCGGCCAGGAAGGACGCGGGTTCCTAAGGCCCGCAGAAGGACCTGCAAACGCTGAGCCCTCGGACCACGTCCACTGCATCAAGGCGTGGAAACCAGCTCCTGGAGTGGCCTCCCTGGGTCTAGCCCAGCCCACACCCCTGCCTGGTTGGGGGTCACAGTTCATGGGCGCCAAGAGCCAGATCCCCACAGGCGTCTGGGTGGCCAGCACAGGCTGCAGGGTGGCTCACGTACCGGGTGGCGGACCAGCCTGACTTTCCTCCTCCCTCCTCTCTGCTCATCTGCCAGCCTCTTCTCACACCGGGCGGGCAAGGCGGCGCCGCCGTGTGCCTGCGGAGGACACAGCTGTGGTCCCAGTCCACACCTTCAGGGGCCTCGAAGCCCCTGTGACGTCCGCCTGGTCCAGGGAAGATGGCACCTGGGGCCCCAAGGAGCCTGGACGGAGGTCCCAGGTGGGGACATCAGAGTAAAGCGCTGGGGGACAGTGCCACGACTCGTCCCCCTTTCCAAGTTACGCCACCTGCCCCTGGAAAAGCAGGTTCGGGGAGGACAGTTTCATGATAACTGAGGGGACGGACAGGGGACAAAGGCACTGTCAGCACCTGGGGCTGACTCCAGGGTCACAGAGCGGAACGAGGGCAGGAGGCGGGGAGAAAGCTTCCGGGCAGGCCTCGGAAATTAAGGGCTTCTGGGGAAAGGCCCTGGGGAGAACGAACCTGGGGTCCCACCCACAGTCCAGGCCTAGGGAAAGGGTGGCCTCAGGCACAGGTGTCGGGGGGCTCTAGACCTTGAGTGGACTGGGCCAGGTTGACCTGCAAGAGCATTGCGGGGGACACCAGCTGAGGGCCTGGGTGTACTGCCTGGGACCAGCAGCCTGGGGGGCAGAGGGCGCAAGGCAGAGGGCACTCGGGAGAGCCGGGCAGTGCTGGAATCCCCGGCTGCCCAGAAGGGGGTGTACAGGGGTGAGTGGGGCAGTGCCTGAGGCCAGACGGATTGTTTCCACCCACAAGCCTCCGCACCTCCTCTGCACCAGGGTGGGCCTCGTCCCCAGGCCCCGTGGCCCGCTGCTCACTGTGCTCCAAGGCGGCCAGCAGCCCTGTGGGCCTCCGCTCGGTGTGGACTGGCTCCTGCTCATACTCCACACACAAGCTGCTCTCGGGGTCCCCAGCAGCTGGTGACCCTGAGTGAGCACCAAAGTAAGCAGCCAAGTCCACGGGGAAGGCCCAGCCTGGGGGCAGCCCATAATGCCAGCTGAGCTGCTGCCCCCACCCTGCACCTGCCCCGCACCCACCTGAGGGCCTCTGCTTCAGGCTGGGGACGTGCAGGTCCAGGCTCTTAGCTTTCCTGGTGGAGAGGGAGGGGCCCGGGTTCTTGGCCACCCTGGCAGCATCTTCCTCCTCACCCAGACTCGGGGCCACAGCCCGGGGCGATGGCGCCGGCATCTGCAGAATCACAGGGTGGGTGGGGCCCCTGCCTGTTTCTGGCTCCTCAGGGGACAGCACCCGGCCCCCTCTCTCGGCAGGGCACGACGGCACAGCCAGCTGGCACTTGGGAACTCACGGTTTTCTGAGCGACACGGAAGAACTGGGCCACATCTCGGATAACGTGGCCAAAGTTTTCATACACCTTGACGTAGGGACGCACCCAGGAGGGCAGCTGGGCTCTGGCATCGGCGTAGGCAAACCTACAAGGTGGGTGTGGCCCTGAGGGCTGCAGGGCCGCACCTGCCCCGCAGCCCACTTCACAGGGCTCGGCTCGCCCAGGTGAAGAGCTGTCCCACCACGGGAGCCCCCAGGCTGAGACCCCACAGGGCCAGAGACGCTGCTAGGAAGACGGTGGCAGCCCGTGGGTCCAGAGAGGGACTGCGCCCAGTGAGGGGCTGCAGGTGTCCACACGGAGCCGCACCTACACCTGCACTCCACGCACCTGTGGTCACAGAGGAAGACAGCCCCGTAGTCCTGGCGGTGCCGGATCACCCGCCCGATGGCCTGGTTCACAGCCCTGGATGCCTGCTGACGGTACCACTCCTGCCCAGAGAGGAACTGAGGGGGCGAGGGGGCTCGGTCGTGGCCCTGGGTCACAGGGGGCTGGGGGCGTGGTCGTGGGGCGCCTTTCCCACATGGCCAGCCTGCGGTAGCTCACCTGGACCCCAGCCCTGCTCTGACCCTGCATCTCGTCCAGGAACTGCATCTTGAGGACAACCCGGGGATCCATGCGTGGCGGGTATGGGAGGCCTGTGACCATCACACCACGGCCATTCATGTCTGAGAAGTCCAGTCCCTCGCTGGCCTAGGGGACAAGCCAGGGAGCTGCCTGGGAGCAGTGGGCACTCTGCTCCCCTCGCTGCCTACATCCGAGCCCAGGGACCTTCCCCAAGGGTCCGTCCACGCCTGACCCTCATAGCTGCATGGTCCTGAGCAGGGCAGAGGCGGAAGCCCCATCTTGACTCAGGCCCCACTCGGAGTGTACGTCTCCCAGAACAGCGTGGCCAACTCTTACACGCCAAGAACGTCCGAATGCCAGCCCGTGGCCTGTGAGTGGGGGGCCTAGTGCCCAGCTGGGGCCAGCCCCACGCAGCCTAGGAGTGCCACTCCTTCCAGACCGGTGTGTTGGATGTGGGGCCCAAGGAGGGGCCCAGGCCTGTCCTGCTAGAGTCTGCTGATGAGGGCACAGGCAGCCAGCCTGGGGGACAGCGACCGCACAGCACGCACCTTGCCCCGGCACACTGCCAGGAAGATGGCTCCGCTGGACCCGGGGGAGGCCACCCTCTCGTAGTAAGCACCGATGACCTGCAAGGAAAGGTGGGTTAGCCCAAGCTTTGAGCCACCACCAGACCCTTCCTCCTCCTTGAGCAAGACCCTGGATCTCGTTCTCCAAGACGAGCCATCGTCCCAGCCAGGAGGGCCAAGCAGGGCTCTAAAGGTTCTTCGTGGCACAGATCCCAGCCGACCCATACCTGACGCCCAGAGACCACTCAGTGTTTCCCAGAAAACATGGGACCCCAGGGCCAGGGTGGCTTGTAGGGGCCTTGCTCTGCTGCTGGGCCCTTAGGCAGGAGGGGCGCCTGCCGTTGCCAGCACACTGGGGTCAGGGAGGAGACCCAGGGCCCCAGGGAGGCCGCCTGGAGCTCACCTCCGAGAAGCCGCCCTTGCTCCTGGGCTCCACGAACACCGGCTTCAGCGCTTCCACCTTCCTGGCCAAGTCTCGGGCCTGTCGGGGGGCAAGGGGAAGGCACAGGCGCCTTCAGGCTCGGTCTCAGCAGGCAAGGGCTGCGCTCGCAACCTGCTTTGTGCTCTAGCCCTGCCCAACCACCCTGCCCATTTGGGGGGCTCCCCTGCCACCCCCTAGGAGGACACACAGGGGAGACACACCCGCCAGAACTCCAGGCTTTTCTCCATGACGGGGTAGGAAGGGAAGAAGACCAGGAGCCCATGGGGCACCACGCGGGCGATGTTGCCTGGAAGCACCATGGCTGTGGTCAAAGCAGGGTCCAGGGGTCCACAGAGGCCCCACTGACTCTCGGGGGGACGGGGCCCAGCACAGGGACGACGGGGGAGCGAGGGCTTCCTGTAGGATGCGGCTTCCATGTGAAGTACTCACCCAGAGTCTTCCCCAGGGAGGACAGACACTCCTCAGAAAACCTGCACAAAGCCAGGGAGGCCGCTGCCACGAGGGCCCTGGGCTGGGCCCCCACAGTCCCGTCTCCTCGCCCTGCCCAGGCCCCCTTACCGTTTGTCGAAGGCGGAGCTCAGCTGGGCTCCGTCGGGGCCTTTGGGGATAATGCCCACCCAGATCTGGTGCTGGTCGATGACGTGGGGGTTCTCCAGGCAGATGGGGAAAGGGCTGAGTGTGGCCAAAGGGAGGGGACAGTGGGCAGCAGCACAGAGCACTACAGCCCGCGAGGCCCAAGACCCCAGCGCCCAAACCAGTGCACCGCACCCCCACCCAGCTGGCGTCACCAATGTCACCAGCTCTTAGGCTTCTAGCAGGGTATGGCCCGTACATCTGCATCTCCAGGGCAAAGGAGGACACAGGGGCCAGCGTGCCGCTGGTGAGGATGAGGGTGCGGACACCCTGGCGGACCAGCTCGCGCATGCTGTGGCCGGGGCTGAAGCACCAGTAGCTCAGCACCTTCCCTGCGGGGGGTGGGAGGGCGGGTGTGAGGGTGGGACGGGGCCCTGACCACCTTGCTGGCCGCCATCCTCTCCACCCACCAGCATCAAACGAGCAAGTCACCGGCAGCCCCTGGGCCCAGTGTGCGTGGGTCAGAACAGGGGTCTGCCCTGAGCCCGAGCCCAGACTGGAGCTGGGCCCTCCCTCGGGGGTCCCAGGAGCAGAAGGCCGGCACCAGGCAGACGCCAGGGGACACTTCCAGAGAGGTGAGGCGCCCCCAACCCTGAACTCCCGCGGGAACTGTGCCGTACAGCCCAGGGCACGAAGCCCACCCCACGGGAGCACACAGGAAGGAAGCAGCGTGCGACCTCCTGACGTCCCAAGCACGGATTGCGAAACGGGGAACGCGGTTCCCAGACTCTCCCTGGAGTGGGACGTCTGCGCAAGCCGCTGTGCTGCGCCAGCAGGAGAGGCCTCCGGGCTCCGAGGGCCTGCCCGTTCCTAGAAGTGCTTGACCGTGGCTAGGGGCCCGCCGGAAGCTCCGGAAATTAACACTGCACAAGCAGGATGACGTGAAACGTGGTTCAGGGACGACGGCCCATTTCCTGAAAGGGGCAGAACCACTTCCACGCTGGGATCGGAGCCGCCCGGATGAGGGGGAGACCGGGGCTGCTGCCAAGCACAGGGCGGCGGGAAGAGCCCACCCCACGAACGCATTTCCTACGAACACCTGCCAGGGAAGCCACGTGACTTCAGTTCACCAGTGCTGCCAGGGGAGCTCTGGTCCCCCCTCTCCAGGAGGGACGCTTCCTACCGGGAGAGGCCTCGTCACCCTCCCGGCCCTTCCCTTCCAGTGTCCGCACACTCCACCGGCTGCTCCTGCTGGGGCCGTGCTGTGCCACATGCCGTGGGTCACAGGCAGCCTGAGGAAGGACATCCGCAGCGGGGGAGGGGCAGAGCCTGGGGGAGGGGCGCCTGAGCAGGCGAGGCGGCCACGCTGGTTCCCACGAGCGAAGCCCTGCTCTGACCTCTGACCACCACCCGCTGGGCTGGACACCAGGCAGGGTGCGTGGGGCCAGGTGCACCCTGGAACCGCAGTGCTGCGGACACCGAGCCCAGGGCACAGGCACAGACCCTGTCCACACAGCGTCCCCAGTGGCAGCGACTCTGAGACACTGAGAAGCAGACGAAGCCACCGTGGCACGTGGAGAAGGCGGGGCTCGGGGCCCGTGTGCACAGCAGGGCTCAGGGGTGCACCCTTCAGATGGGACCCCGAGGCTCGGCGGCCCCGCAGCACAGCACAGAGTGGACGAGAGCCCTGCCTCGCGGTGCAGGTCCCTGCTGACCTGCCCTGGGTAAACGAGTGGCTACCGGCAGGGCCAGGAGGCCTGGCCAGGCCCCGGCTCTGCCACCAGCCACGTGACTCCGGGCAGGTCCCGGTGCCACTAGACCTTCTCCAAGGTCTCTCGCTCAATTAACTCTGACTTCCAGAGGCGGCAGGAGGAGGCCCCCTGGGGAGGGCTGGCCACGGAGAGGAGACCCGCAGCTGAGCGGCAGTGCACGGCCGGCGCTGTGGTGCTGCGGGTGCCCGCTGAGTCGGGCAGGTGTAGCCTGTACCTGGCTTCCTGGGGGCCGTGGTGCTCCAGGAGTCTGACCGCGGAGCCGCCCTCCGGGGACCGGCGTCGGGGTGGATGTGCACCTGGAGGGAAGCGCGGACGGGTGTGCTGAGGTCCCATGTGTCCTGCAGGAGGCCCCTCCCTTACAGGCTGGGGACCCCCAGCCTTGTCCGCTTCCTGGAGGCAGTGCCTACCTTATAGGACTGCAAGGCCCCCAGCCCTACCCCAGAACTGGGGCCGCCCTCGGGGGCATCCACACTGAACACGATCTGAAAGGCAAAGAAAGCGCGACCTACGTCAAGGGCCTGGGGGGGCACAAAGCCTCTTCCTGGCGTGCCCAGGGACACAGAGGCTCCTTGGCCCAGCACACGAGAATGCCGGGGCCGCCTGCTCTCCTGCCGAGTCTCCCCACATGGCAGGTCAGACGGGCACCCGAGGCACCATCTGCTCCGCCGGTCATGCAGCCGAGGTTCCCTCGTGTGACCCCAGATGTGACCCACAGGCACCGCCTGAGTGACCCCAGCAGGTTCTCTGGGAACCTCCCACCACCACGACATCCATGCGTTGGAAGTGTGGCAGCCCTGTGGGGCCTCCTCCAGTTAATCTAGGAATTCAACGCACTCCCGTCGGAACCGCTGCAGGATTCTTACAGGAAGCGAACCAGCCCAGCCCAGAGCTCACCCGGCGGAGAAAGGCCCAGCGAGCTAAGGGGCAAGGAGAGGGATCCGTTCTGGCCAGTGTGTGCTTTGACTCGCCAGAGAACTACAGCAGACAAGAATGCAGAGCAAACCGCTGCCGGAAAGATGTATACCTATTATGGGCCATAATAATTAAAGATTAAAAACAAAGTCTAGCAGCTGTCGGGCGTGGTGGCACTCGCCTGCAGTCCTAGCTACTCAGGAGGCTGAGGTGGGAGGATCGCCTGTGCCCAGGAGTTGGAGGCCAGCCTGGGCGACGCAGGAGAGCCCGTCTCCAACAACGGAGCAGGTGCCCGATTGACAGAGTCGGGAAAAGTCAGTCGCTTAGTCAGTTACACAGAGCAACTGACTGGTGCTGGAAAAATAAAAGACTTCTGTCCTCGGCATCCCTCACAGATGACTTCAGAAGGATCAGAAGGCTCGGTGCAAAGTAGCTAACCGGACAGTGTGGTGTGGAAAAACCCACGAGGCCAGGCTTGTCACCTGGGGCCAGAAGGCTCGAGCCTACGGGACAAACGCCCGACCAGGAAGCCTGTGCACCAAACCCAGCGTGAAAACGGAAGAGACAACACGGGTTCACGCGCGGGTTGACGGAGTTCACAAAGAACCCTGCAGACCGCAGAGAAAGACAACCCACGCGCTAGGAAGGGGCACAGAAAAGGAACCACAAATGGGCCCGACATGTCACGAGGCCACACAGAACACAGAGACCACACGCCCTGTTCTGCCCGGCCGACGGGCCCAGCGAGCAGAGAGTTCTGGGGTCAGCCCAGCGGTGCCAGCAGGGAAACACGTTTGCCGCGGGCTCGAGGAGGCGCTGCTGGGACGGTGACGACCCAGAGTCACCCACAGGAAAGTGGTGAAAACCAGAAAACACCCACGAGCAGAGCATGCCACGGTTAACAGAGCACTCAGAGAGGCTCGCGGATTTGTGCACACGGACACGTGTGTACTATGCGTGTGCTCGGGGATGCGCCTCGGATGGGGCGTAAGCACAGGAGACAGAAACTTATGTAGCCACTTTCACCGTCAAGACAGCCAACGGGCTTTGTGCTTCAGCAGAGCCCTGGCCCGCAGGGACGGAGACAACAGAACCAGCTTCACGAAGCTGCGGAGCCCGGGCGGAGGCCGCTGGGGGACAATGGCTTCCTTCACCACCTCCCGTGCCTCAGCCCCAGGCGCCCTCACTCCGGACTTGCGGGAGTCTTAGACAAACCTGCTTCCCCGCCCTCCCCAGAGTCTCCCCAGCAAGGGCTGCCCGCAGGCTGCCTGCCCCTCTGGTCTGGGCCAAGCCCTCATGTGCTTCCAGGCTGGCCTCCAACTGAACTGTACGTCCCCACGTCCTGGTCCGGGGCTCTTGTCCCCATTCTACCCAGGGGACACCTGCCATCCCCTGGCCCAAGGATGAGCAGCTACTGCCCTGGGCGCACTGCCCACACCTGCCCAGCACACCAGGTCCCGGCAGGAGCGCCGGGCAGCTGCGTGTGCTCAGCAAGCAGTGAGGGATGAGCAGCTGCTCAGTCCCGTGTCCTCCAGGCCGGGCAGGGGCTGAGTCACCTGCCAGGGGCTGCTTGGACCACAGCCAAAGGAAACTCCACACCGACCGGGTGAGCGGGCGTTTTGGCTCCAGAGAGTGTGGAGGGAGGAGGAGGAAACTCCACAAATGGGAGCCTGGGGAACCGCATGGGGGTGAGCCCTGCGGGCAGCAGCGCCTGCCTCACCTGGCTGTGGGCCGAGGCTGGCCTTGGAGCCCAGCAGCAGCACCAGAGACGGGAAAGAGCGGATTCCCTGGAGCTGCTCCCGCCGCAGCGGCCTGCTTAACCGCAGGGACGATCAGGACACAGAAGCAAGGCCCACCGGCAGGAGCACAGCCAGAGGGGTCTGGCCCTGGACACCCACTGTCCCCTTGGGGAAGAGCTGGGAGGACAGAGCGGTGCTGTCTTTCCAGGCCCGATCCCTTCACAGAGGAGGAGACGGAGGCTGAGGTGGCTGGAGCGGCTAAGGTCGAGGAGGCCGCACTGGCTGTCCCAGGGCCCACGGCTCCATGCCCATCAGCAGGGACACAGCGGCCACGCCAGACACAGGCTGGCCACGGACCCCAGGGCTCTAGCGCTGCCTCCCTCCCTCCCGCGTGAGCCCTGCGCAGGTCCGGCAGACACTGGCGGAGCCACCATAAAGCTGTGCAGCTCCTGCCAACCCCTCCATGACCTCGGGTAGCCTGGAGGTGCACAGGGTGGGAGGGGAGAACCCCATGAAGGGGTGCCGGCAGCTGCTGATGGTCTCACACAGCACCACACATCACACGGCTTCCCGGGCCTCAGTTTCCCCAAGGACCAACAGCCCCACAATCAGGATTCTTGAAAGTCTGCTTCCGAAAGACCCCCAAGGCTCAGGAGAGACGCCTGTGCCCAGAGCACCCACAACTGGGCTTGCCTTCAACCAGCTAGCCGAGCAGCTTCTGTTGGGAGAACAGGCGCCGCCACGAGCACGTGGGCTGAGGGCGTGGCTCAGCTGACGTCCCACAAGGGAGGGGCAGGAACGTGGCCAGGGAGAAGAGGGATGGCCTCTTGCCCCTCTTCCTCGGGCTTGCAGAGCAGAGCACAGCACCGCAGGGGCCCCAGTCTTTCTGAGAAGCTATCTGGGCAGGCACCTGTCCCCAGACCGCTCCTCACCTGAGCCCAAGGCAGCTGCTGGGCCTCTTGTCATCAGTGGGGCCCTCCTGGCCTGAGGCACCAGCAGGGTGGGGTGGTTCCCTGGCCCTCCCTGCCCTGGGGGTTCTCTCACCAGCACCACCCTTCGGGACTGGCCAGACCTGTCCCACCCGGCCCAGAGGCTAAGTAGACTTACTACGGGAGGAAATGAGTCTAAGGTTGTTCTGACCTGGAGCTCGTGGGGGGGATGGGGGGAGTGTGCTGTCCCAAGGGGAGACTCAGCGCCCAGCACAGCAGAAGGAAGCACCTGCCCAGAGGGCCGAGCAGGCCCTACCTGGATGATGTCTGCCAGCTTCTGCAATCCAGCCGTGTTGGTGAACGCTCCGGCGCCTGTGGGGGCAGTGGGGGGCTGACATCCTGACCACAGGCGGGGGGGGCCGACCTGGCCATGCCAGCCACGAGCCAGCTGGCCTGCACTGCCCAGCTCTGCCCAGTGGGGTGACCAGCTTCCCCTTCCCCTCAACCCCGCGTAGAATGCGGGATCTGCTCTTCCCAGCGGTCAGGGGGAAGCCAGACAGAGACGGGGCCTCAGGGGTCTGTGGGCTTGACAAGAGGCTCCGTGGTCAAATACATGCCGGAGCCCCTCCCCGCAGAGCCCAGGAGCGCAGTGAAGACCCCGCTAGGTCCCACCTCCTACCTCCCAAGACCCCACTCTGCAGAGAGGCAGGTTGCACAGAGTAGGCCAGGGGAGGCTGCCCGGGGAAGCCCTCTGGACCTCATGCTCTGAACAGAAACGGGACTCGCGTGGCAGGCAGGAGGAGCCGACGGGACCAGGGACCACGACCCACCCATGCCTCTCTGGCTGCTCTTCCTGAAAGGGACTAACTGGGACGAGGCTGCAGGAAGAAGCTGCAGCCGCAGGACTGGAACATGCTCTACAGTGGCCGCCAAAGGGCACTAAGGCCTCCGCGCCCCAGTCAGAAAAGGAGAGCTCTGCAGGCCGAATCCCTGCTCAGGGGGAAGGGGTGCGGCGACTGCTGACGGCCCACCACCAGGTGCCACGGGGCGAGCCGTGCCAGCTGCCCAGCACGGAGAAGCAGCCTTATTAAAGGCCTGCACCCGAGACTCACGTCCTGCCAGGTGCTGGATGATCTGGTCCAGCGAGTCCAGGATGCAGCCCTTGGTCTGATGCGTTATCTGGGCTTCGGCAAACAGCGCGAAGATGTAGCTGCAGGAGGATGGAGAGAGCTCAAGCCTGGGAGGGGCCCAGCTGCGGCCTTATAAGTTTCCTTCACTCAGAAACGAACTCTGAGCCCCCCAGGAGAAGCTGAAGTCAGAAGCGAGAAGCCTCTGCCCTCAGGAACCTCCAGGTGGGGAGAGATCGTCCAGCACAAGAACCACGTCCCAAGGAAGACAAAGCACCAATCACACGGGAGTTGTCAGAGGCTTCCTGGAGGCGGTGGCTCTGGGGAGGGTCCCCAAAAGCTTTGGAAAGTGAAAGGGGGAGCAGAAGCTCCAGGAGGGGTCCTTGGGAGTGCAGGTCAGGGGCAGGCTGAGGAGCACCTGCCGGGGTCAGAGCTCGGGGGGCAGCCGGGCGCTCTGGGGAAAGGCAGGCAGCCCAGGCCCCGGAACAGGCTCTGCCCTCGACTACCCTGGACCTGGGTCCCCAGCAGAGGCCCCCAGCTGTGAGCCTTCAGCTGCCTGCAGGACAATATGCCCTGCTGCCCCCGGCTGCAGGGAAGACTGGAGCCTGCGGGACGTTGGGAATACGCTGGGCCCGCTGGGGTCTTAAGATGTAGGGGGACGCTGGTTGCTGGTTGTCCTAACGAGAAGCCTGGTTCTCACCGGCACCTGCACTGCAGACGAGGGCCGGGGGAGGAGGGCTGGCAGGGGGCTCGGAGTGGGAGTGTGTGCCCCCCTCCCACACACACAGGTGGGCAGCCCCTCCCAGGTCTAAGCGTGGAAAACAGGCCTCTCTGGCAAGGGAAGGCCCAGGACAGGGCAGCCAGGGCCCAGGCATGGAGCGAGGACAGAGCCCACATGCCCACTGCCTGTCGCAAGCTCCAGGCTGGTCGCCTCTCCCCTCACCTCCCTGGCTTGGTGACGCCACTGTTGTCTCCAGGCAGCTCGACAGCGTCGATGGCCCCCTCCAGGCGAAGCAGGATCGCTGTGGGCAAGGGGGCGTCAGGGGAGGCCCCAGCGGCCACGAGGAGGAGGGGAGGGCGGCACTTACTCTTCAGCTTCGCGATGTCTTCCAGCTCCACGTTCAGCCCTGAGCGAGAGAAAGCAGCAAATGCACAACCCTGTAGCCGTCTAACCCCCCAGCCGTGTCCTTGGGAAGCAGGACTCCCAGCGTGGAGGAAAGGACACAGGCGTGAGAGAGAAGAGGTTACCTAGAATCCTCGCATCCAAATCTGAATCAGAAACAGCATGTGAGCCCAGCAACGCACACAGGAACAAGCCCTGCACACGGACGTACTTCCTAGCTCTGCCCACTGAAGACAGCGATCGACCCACTGCGGGTCTTAAAACACCTCCTCCCAAGAAAAGAAAGCAAGGCTTGCAGAAGACTCGGCAACGCAGAGGGGCGCGGAGCATCCTGACTCCCGGGCAGCTCTGTGGCTGCCAACCACCCTAGCCGTGCCGAAAGGGTGCGGGTGATGAGAAAACACCCGAAGACAGAACAACTGAGCTTTAACGTGGGATTTGCAGTGGACTGGACCAATCGTATGTATTTAAATGCACACAGTCAATGACGGTATTTCAAAAACTATTCCCGTCCTGAAGATGACAACGAACCAAACTCCCAAATTTGAAAACTGAGAAAGTAAAAGGGGAAGAAAAAATCGGCCTTAATATTTATGCTGCTTGTCCTGTGTGAGTGGTACCACCACGTGGCTGATGCAGCAAAGAGTATCTTCACAAATCATTCCTGCTAACGTCTCCATCCTGCAATCCCCAGATAATGAATGAACGCAGGCACTGAGCAGCCGCAGTGTTGCCACCAGGAAAGCTGTGAGCCTCCTGAGGGAGGAGACGCCTGCTCCGAGCCTCTGAATCCGTCTCTCGGGGCACAAGACTCGGAGGCACGCAGACTGTGCCACAGGTGCGGGCAGCAGGCTCGGGCTCTCTGTGGTCGATGGCCTGGGTCCTTCGACAAATACAGTGTAAGGAAAAGAACAGAATGTAGATGAAAACTGCACTTCCAGTCCCGAGCAAGACATGGTGGGAAGCACATCCCGCCACAGATCCCCACTAATCCCAACAAAAATCCCTGCACTAAGCAACTAACGGAAGACTCCGGAAGGCAGGGAAGGCGGTAGGCAGCGGTGAGGGCCCTGGGGGTGGGCTGCCTGCTTGCTGCATGTTACATAACCTGGCCTAGGCAACAGGAACCTGGCAATCTGCAGACACCAAGACACCAACAGGCACAAACCTAACAGAGCCAAGAGGCCCACTCTTTCTAGCCAAGGGACCAGGGAGAGGACAGAAGTGCAGCATGGAACTCTTTTGGTCATATCCGCCCTACCCACTCCGCACAGGCACTGTAGCGTGGAGACCATCCACCCGTACTGAGCAAAGAGGTGGTGGGAAGAGGCAGCCGCCCCTCCCAGATGAAGAGTGTGCTGGGGGGCTGTCCACAAGAGGAAGGTGGGGTGAGGGATTCTTTACATCTGCATGTAAAGTCCTGGGGACCTCAATGCCTCACTGAGGGGGCCGGGTGTGAAAGCTCTGAACACTGGCGTGGACACCGCCCAGACGTCAGACTGGCAGGCGGACTGATAAGTACGGCCCCGCAAAGGTTAAACTGACATTCGAACCACAGCCCACCCGAGTGAGCCAGGATGTGCTTCTGAATCTATGCAGACTGCTTGCTAAAACAGATTCAAATAAGAGCCACAATCTCAACAAAGTACTCAAAATATCCAGGATGCAACCCAAAATTACTTGTCATAAAAATAAGCAAAAAGACACAGGAAAATCTCAACTTGAAAGAGAAATGACAATCAACAGATGCCAACACGAAGATGACACAGATGTTACAATTATCTGACAAGGATTTTAAAGTAGCCATCAGGTGGAGTGGTGGCTCACACCTGTAAAACCAGCACTTTGGGAGGCCATGATAGGAGGATCATTTGAGACCAGGAGTTCGAGACCAGCCTGAGCAAGAGCAAGACCCCATCTCTACAAAAATCACAAAAATTAGCCAGGCATGGTGGTGCACACCTGTAGTCCCAGGTACTCGGGAGGCTGAGGCAGGAGGATGGCTCGAGTCCAGGAGTTGGAGGCTGCAGTGAGCTGTGAAGACACCACTGCATTCCAGCCTGGGCAACAGAAAGAGGACCCTGTCTCCAAAAAGAAAAAAAAAAAAAAACCTCACCATAATTAATTTTAAAAATTGTAAAAAATTAAGCAGCCATCATAAAAATGTTCCAACAAGCAATGATGAACACTCTTGAAACAAATGAAAAACAGAAAGTCTCAGCAAAGAAAAAGAACATATAAAGAAGAGCCAAGTAGGAATTTAGAACTAAAAAACAACAGCCAAAATTTAAAATTCAGTGGGCAGGCTCAGGAGCAGAATGGTAACGGCTGAGGAAACAGCAGAGAATGCACAGACAGACCTATGAGATCATCCTGCCCGAACGACAGAGAAGGTCGACTGGAAAAACAGAACACGCAGATCCTCGGGGACCCTGGCACAACAGACCAGCACGCCTGTCGGAGTCCCAGAAGGAGATGAGGAAAAGCACCGGACTGAAAAAGTATTTACAGAAATAACGGCTAAAAACTTCCCCAACCTGGCAAAGGAACTACAGTTTCCGAGGCTGAGTAAACACCAAAAAGGATAAACCCAAAGAATCCCACACCAAAACACATCACAACAAAACTGCTGAAAACTGAAGGCAAAGACAAAAATCTCAAACTTAGAGAAAAATCATGCATTAACAACAGGAAATAACCATTTGAATGACAGCACATTCCTCATTTGAAACCAAAGAGGACAAAAGCCAGTGGAACATTTTTCAAACGCTGAAAGAAACAAGACTTGAACCCAGAATTCCACATCCAGGACAAATATGCTTCCAGAATCAAAGTGAAATAAAGACATTCTCAGATGAAGGAAAACTAAGAATTTGCCACCAGTTCTTTCAAAAGAATTATTAACCATAAATAAATGGTAAGTATGTGAGTGATGCTTACGTTAATTAGCTTGATTCAACCATTCTACAATGTATACTTATTTCAAAACATCATGTTGTATACCATAAATATATATAACTTTTAGCTGTCAATTAAAAAGAAGAAGAAAGGCCGGGCGCGGTGGCTCACGCCTGTAATCCTAGCTCTCTGGGAGGCCGAGGCGGGCAGATTGTTTGAGCTCAGGAGTTCGAAACCAGC